GCCTTCTCCCGCCGGCCCCCGCCGGCGGGGCTTTTCTTTGGGGGGGGGGGGGGGGGGGGTTACCACACAGGTATGAAGTGCATCCATGTCACTAAACACTAAAACGTGAGCACTAAAACGTTAGAACAAACACCATCCTTCTGTACCTGTAATGTAAATCGATATCAAAGAACTAAAAACCACGTATACACTAAGTTGTTATAAAGCGGTTATTTACGGTAACGATTAACGGTTAATAACCGTAACTGTTGCACGCCTACCTCCAACCATCCGGTTAACCTGCTTGATAACCACCGTCGTATTAAATATATTTCGTCTTCGGAGCTAGCTTAACCAGTCGGTTAATTGGGCGATTAACCTAGTTATCAGCCTTCAAGTTCAAGTTCAAGTTTATTTTGCATAAGCAAGGACATCACAAAAGAAAGTAAACGTTTAGTAACTTATAACATCTGATAAACAGAAGCCTTAGCGAACTCCTACTCGATAATGATAACCTAGTACTCGGTTCACTATTAGGTTGGAGCCAGCTAACCAGGTGAAAAGGTACATTTAGCTAGATCCAACAAGTGATTAGCCATCCGGTTATGTAGTCGATGGAGCTAGATTTTCTCCGTAGAGTATTTTTGCTTGAGACATACTTACCATTTTGGCAATCATAACTAATTTGGGTCCTATTTGTGGTACAGCAAAAAATATATCTAACGTTCTCATATACCATATGCTTAAATCAACTGCAAGGATAGCTCTAAAATACATATATAATAGAATTCATCATAGGTAACAGTACGTATTGTACTATCGATAAAGCAAACCTTGCTACACAGAAACATCTATCCATCGGTACCAGACGTAGTATAAACCCGATGAAAAACAGTGTTATTGCGCCGGTATCAAGGACGTTCCAGACATCGGAAAAATACGTTCGAAGTTTTCCATGATAAGTTCGAGATTCACTCACTAATACCTACAAAGACAAGAAAGTGTTAAATTCGTTCTTAACATTTAATTGCTTCAAGCAGTAGTTAAGGTGTGACTACTCGAATGCTTCCAGATCGTGATGACTTATTGAATTAGTAGCAAATGTTCTGTGCTTGTTTTCACTTTAAGAGGCACAAATTCACTACATCAATTTTTCGAATTTAAACAAGGATCAAGTGAAGGATTAAAGCCAAAACTTTGATCCAACGAATACGTATCTTTAAAACTGAAAAGGCGCATAAAATAAGCGTCTGTTTTCCATCTGCAAATATATCACATATCAATAAAACATTATAACCTGTCTAATTTCTTCGCATAGCAATGTGAAGACCCATATTGCTAGGATAATTTCTCGATGCGATAAATATTTTCTTTTTTCATTGATTGATACTTCATTTCTCTCGTTTGGTTTTGCTAATATACAACTTCGTTGAGAAGAATGAAGTGGATAAAAATCACAGAGTAAAATATAACTGAATAAGGTTAGAAACATAATGTGCATGTACTAAAATGAACATTCTTTCTATTGTTATACATGAACAAAATGCAGTCTCGTGTATATTATTACCAGTTTATGCAAGTATTTGACAAATGGCGAACGCATAAAGTTCAGAATATTTCTCAGGTATTTCATTGGCTGTTCCTCACAAAACCTAAATGAGCATCATATTTATTCAGCTTTTCGAGTGAAGAATGATAGCAGGAACAACAGTCATGTTGCATGAGAAAAGTAAAACAGCCGATCAGATTGAGCTGAACTCCAGACTTAATGGACTTTTAATATGCGCTTTCTGGTGGTATATTTAAAAAAATTTTAGCATTGCGTCAAGTAGGGATTCTAAAACTTCCTAGTTTTTCGATGATCTCATACCTGCTTGAAAATTTGGTTAACAAGCACAATTTTTGAGCAAATATCCAACTTTATTTAACTTTAAACGAATCAAGCGAGGAGGCTCACTGGACGACTGGCATTATCAAATTAAAAGATACGAAAGAGATTGAGAAAGATGTTCCGTCAACTTTTTTATTTTATCACTATTTGCTGGTAATTAACAAACTTTTTTCTCCCAATTCACACGTATAACGATCGTGAAAAATCATCTTCAGTACTCAAGAGATCCGACATCGCAAGAAATAGCTTATAAAGAGATCTAGTTTCAAGTAAAAAATAAGTTTGTTATTTACCAACAAATAGCGATAAAATAAAAAGTTGACAGAAGATCTGTTTCGATCGCTTTTGTAATGTTTTAGTCTGCTATTGCCAGTCGTCTAGTGAGCCTCGGGATCTCACTTGATTTGTTTAAAGTTAAATAAAGTCGGATATCTGCTCAAAAATTGCTTTTCTGAAACGGGTCTCCAAATAAGTTTTAGAAGAACTCTGTTCCATTCTACGTCTTCTATTTCTGAATATGTATGCCCAAGGCTTGTTTCGCTCAATGGAGAAGATATCCTACGTCCTATATGCCTTAATATATTGGATCATCCTTAATGCTTTATCGGCGCTTGAGAAAGTAGCGAAGTTTTGCATGCTTTCTTTGTGTCGCCATGATGTCTATAGGTGACATAAAGAGACGAAATAGAATAGAAATAGCTGATTCGGAGCTATGAGGTGGATAAATTAGACTGATGATTTTTAGTAGCTTTATGTTCATAGTTAAGCATCCAACAGCTACAGTTGTCAACCGTAAAACCGCAACTGCAACTGTTAACTGTAACTGATCACAATTGGTCGAAAAACGAAAAAATATGATTTTTTTCTCTCTCTTATTATGTTAGAACTACTGTTCTTCAACTCGTGCTTTAACGAGGCAAAGTAATGAGTAATGAAAGCAAGAGAGAAAAGAAAAGAAATGTAAATTGTAGTAGAAATGTAATTTTTTCGCGTTATGCTTTCCCTTACACGTTCTATCGAGACTTTTAATAATACAATAATGTTTTTATTTCGCTCGTGTGATTTATTCGAGGGTTCATCTCGTTTTTTCACAAAAATCATGAAGAGTGTACTTTCTGATCAAACTAATTTTGAGTCCATAACCATTCCACCCCAAGTCCACTTTCTAGCCTCATTTAAGTCGCTCCGCGATCACTAAGAGGTCGCTGTGCGATCGCGACCAACTCTTATTTTTGTAATTCGGGATAGCGACGTGACACTTTTTTCTTATAGTGATCGCGCTCGGATCCCGGATTCGTGCTGCGGTCGCTAAGAAATCGCTGCCACAGCGCGATCGCGATGAAATTTTGTAATTCGCTATCGTGAAGGGACAATAGTGACTTCTTTGCGATCGCAGCACGAATCCGGGATCCGAGCGCGATCACTGTAAGGAAAAATTGTCACGTCGGGATCGCATTTAATCACCACATGATACAGCGTAGGGACGCATTTCCCGTGCAAATCCTATTCACCGCTTTGTTTTGCTTACGCGCCTGGTATATAATTCTTACTAATTTTTCGAAAAATTTGCAAAATCTTATCGCATCTTAATAATAGCTTACGACGTGACTATATGACTAGTCGCGTCGCGCGTATGCCATTCGTCTGCGTTCGCGGTAAAAGTAGTATGGCTCTTTTACCGATATTAGACGGAAAACGCGAATAAATAGTAACTATAGTAAAATTCTTGAGAGCCATTGATTTTTGTATGAGCGCGAAGAAATAGCGGTAACTAAAAATCACGTCTTATTTTGCTAGTCTCATAGTGGACGCGTTACGCGATCCTGCCGTGAATTTTTGAAGAGAATCGCGTCGCGATATGCGATAAGAAAGTGGACTTGCGACCCACTCTATTTTCTTAAAACGTTGAAAAAAACTATTTTATTTTCTCTTATCATCACGCACAGTTGTAAAGAGCTGCAGTTACGAACAGTTTCAGTCAACTGCAACTGTTGCATGCCTATTCAGTCGACAGAAGGCGATGTTTCACAAAACGTACCGTTTTATTTTCGTATCTTTAATGTCAACATTGATACATGTATCACTGTCTTGTCTTACCGCGTTTGAATTGGTTCTACCGGAAAGAAATAACCAAGCGTTCATGTTATCGACAATACTACTACTATACTGCGTATTCAGATATTCTTACGTGGTACACATGTCCACATGCTCTTTTGAACGATGTCTGGAAAACTTATAACATGATTTTGATGGATCCTCATCCTGCGCTGGCACCTCCAGATCTCCAGTACCTGTGAAAGTCTCAAGCAGAGGTGTTTTCTGAGCCGTTGCAGCATCTCTCTGACCAATATTTTCTTCCGTTTGGGCATGCCGATGTTCCTGTTGTTTGTCAGACATTAACCTGTCACTTTCAAAATCCTAAAAATAAACCTACGATAGTCATACAGACACCATGAATAAGAGAAACGGCGTACCCATTCGTTAGTACTTTCAGGTCCGTCAACATACACTAGTCTTGTATGATAACGAAGAAAACCACTTAGCGGAGGAAAAAATGACGATAGTACCACAGTGTGCAGTAGACAATTTTCATGATCAATATAACCATACCTTAAAACAAACACCACAATAATCTGGTTTTCCTCTGCTCGTGACGGTAACTCACCAAATGTCTTTCAAAACATCCTGAATCGCTCCGTGTGCAATAAAGGTTTTAGCTTTTGCTTTAGCAGCTATGGTCAACCATGTACAATTTCCATACGATGGTATTCGTCTTACAACTGAACGCATACATTCATGTCTGTTATGTTTGTAGAATAAATCTAGTAGATTAATAGCCAATTGTTCAAATTCATGTGCTTGACATACTAATTCTTGACATACTAATTTATCATAAAGAAATTTTTTATTCGCGGATATGTTCTTGTATAATAAACTGGCAATGAGAGCGGCACATATCTTATTCTTGGTTCGTGACCAAAACAGAAGCGCTAAACCGTGTTTATTTGTTAACACAGACCACAACAATAACAATTTATCAATATCCATTATGCCACGTGTTGAACCTCAAGGTCCTTAAAACTAGTTGTCTGTCAAATTATCTTACAACGAACTTACTGTTCCATTTTTGTTTGTTTTCATCTGGTGTTATTCTCTTATTATTTACTACTGTTGTTTGTAATACTGCATCGATTTCAAAAAAATCACCAATCAGCGGTGTGATGTATCGGACATATATGCCATACAGCGTATCTCCATTATTGTTATGTGAATTCACCTTCGACGAATAATAGTATCCAGATGTAAAAGGAGATTTATCCTGAAATAAATTATAAATCCTGCACTCCTAAACATTTTCCAGTAGTACGGGATTACCAATGACTTGAAAAGTCTTGAAAAATTTTCTACATCTGGAAATAACTGTGTCAACGAAAAATCGTGTTCAAAAAATAATTCAATAAAGTTTATTTGGTTGCGTTCTAAAGCCGTCAAAAATAGATGATTCAAGTCAAGGTTCTAAAAAGACAACAACCTGATCAGCTGTCGAAGAGGTAAATGCTTGTAAGACTTACCGACCAATCGTTTTCATCAGCCATAACATAAGTTTTAGCGATATCAATACGATCCCAAAGGAGCGCTAGATGAAATTGTTTAGCTTTATGCCGCTTATACTCGTCATTATTTTTATCACCTTCGGAGTAGTTGGATGCTAAAAGAAAAAGGAAACTCACGTATTATATCATCTGGACATGAATAAAAACATTCTTTTCTTCATTGTTTGTAAATCGTTACCTGTTAATAATGCTTTAAGTATTACTAAATCAATATCGGGCTCAACTGGATCGTTAGCTTTCAAATCAACGATTGTTAAATAGTTAGTGTTCTTAGAAATACATTCGTAAATCATGTGAAAATAGTCATATTTGTCAGAATTAGAAAATTGCTTTATGATAAATTAGTATGTCAAGAATTAGTATGTCAAGCACATGAATTTGAACAATTGGCTATTAATCTACTAGATTTATTCTACAANGTAAAGTTTTGCGAAAAGATTGCAGCAACGACCGGTTCCCTACGTAAACATTAGAAAAGCTATATTGTGAAAAAAGCATTAATGATACTTCGAGTATTTATTTATACGTCAAATATAACGGCTGGTATGTGGTTCTTAACAACAGCTTCGAAAACTGTTCTTATGGTATTTGGACCACCTAAAATAACCATACAAGAGATAAGTGCAATTATCACCGTGGAAAGAACTCTCATATAAGAAAATCAGCGCAAACTCATTCACAGTATGAGATCTTACGTGATTTGTCTTCTTGATAGCATTCGCTACTGTCCATAACATTCATCCGGTGTTTAGTTAGACTTTTCATTTCCACGACGC